GGGAGGAACGGGGCGAGCCCCCTCCAACCCACCCGCGCTAGGTCTCGGGTTTGACGCAGGGGTCACTCCCGGTTGTTTGTTTTTGCACTCCCGCGAAACTCGTGAACTAGCCGGGGCAGTCGGAGAAGGGGCAACTCCGTGCACTGACGGTCGGCCGCCAGAAAACACGCCTGCGTGGATCGCGTCACACCAATCCTCGCTACCCAACGCGGCCAAAGGATATCCACCTCGAGAAGTTCGAGAAACCTTACCCCGCAAATTGTCCGAACCCTGCGTGCTGGTCCCGCGCGCGCTGGGTGTTAGAGCTCTTGTCCGGCTCTTGTCGCAGGCCGCGGCGGTGCTGAGTGACCTCGCTGACAACGCCGACAACCAGGTGGCGATCGATGCTGCGCATCGCTCTCGCCCTAGCGGCCCTGCCTCACGCCTCCGCCTTTGCGCTCCCGGCTCACACGCACTCGAGCAGCCCGGTCGTGTTGGCGCCGGCGGCTCGTTCTTGTGTCGTCCGCGTCGGCCGTGCCCTCATGGGGCGCGCCGAGAAGCGGATGGCCAAGAAGCGTTCGCGGAAGGGCCCGCAATACCAGGGCGGGCGGCCGCTGCGCGCGCCGAGCGGAGCGAAAAGCAACGACGTGGTGCCGCGCAGCGTGGTGCTCGGGCGGCTGAAGGAGGTGCCTGTCTTTGGGCTGATGAGCGCCGCGGGAGGACTCGTGCAGCAGGACGGCGAGGTGACGTACTACCTCTCGCCGCGCGAGGCGGAGAAAGCGCGCGCAGCCGTGGCGGGCGGCGCGAGGCTCGTCGCAAAGACGCTCGACGAGGTCTACTTCGACCAGACCGCTCGTCTGAAGCCCGCCGACTCTGCTCTGCGCGAGGCGAGCGAAACCTCTCTGCGCCAAACCTCTCAGCGCGTCACTCTGCCCGCCCCGTCTCACGGTCGTCTGGCGCACGCAGCAGGCAAAGACGATCTCCCCACATCTCCCCATATCTCCCCATATCTCCCGCTGCAGGCAAAGACCATCCCGCAGGAGCGCGCCCTCGTGCAGCGCTGCAGCACGCCTCTCTTTTGCATCGACGGGATGCAGACCACCGCCACCGAGTCGGGGGCCACGTCGCTGCCCATCTTTTTCTCAAAGGCTCGCTCGCCCAGCCCTCAGCTCCGCCCTAGCACGCAGGGCCGTCGGCGGGGGCCGGGGGACTGCAGTACGCAGGGACCGCAGCCCCCCGCGGCAAGGCGGCAGCTCCAGTCCCCGCGGGGTCTGACGCCGCTGTCCCACACCGATCCTCCAGTCCCCACACCCCAGATCCTCCAGTCCCCACACCCCAGATCCTCCAGTCCCCACACCCCAGATCCTCCAGTCCCCACACCCCAGATCCTCCAGTCCCCACACCCCAGATCCTCCAGTCCCCACACCCCAGATCCTCCAGTCCCCACACCCCAGATCCTCCAGTCCCCACACCCCAGATCCTCCAGTCCCCACACCCCAGATCCTCCAGTCCCCACACCCCAGATCCTCCAGTCCCCACACCCCAGATCCTCCAGTCCCCACACCCCAGATCCTCCAGTCCCCACTGGATCCTACGGCCCTCTGGATCTGACGCCGCTATCCACGGCCCGCCCCTCACCGCAGGCGGAGCTGCTCGACTTTGCGACGCCCGTGTACGGCGCCAGGGCCGAGGACCAGGTCCTGCTGACCGACCTGCCTGTGGTCGTGTCCAACATGGTCCAGGGGCCGGCGGGGCTGCTGCGCGACGCGAGGTTCTTCCCCGAGGCGAAGGCGGTGGAGGAGGCGGCGAGGCAGGGAGCGAGCGAGCGGCAGGACCTGTTTGGGACGGCGGGGACGCTGGAGGCGGAGAGGGAAAGGGAGGGCCGGTTCGGCGGCATGAAGCTGCCATGGATGTAATGACCTAAAACATTTAATGCTCAACCTCAAGGACACGGCCGCCGTGCGATCACAGGCGGGAGCATCGCCATATCGGCGGATCGGGCTGCTCTTTTGTACACACGTTGACTTTGATCGATAACGTATCTCTTTCTGCTCACACACCTCACAGCCCCCGGCGGCGCAGCATCTTCGCCGAGCGAAACACCTCCACCTCTCGCAGCCTCCTGCTCGGCCGCAGCGCGCGCATCGCGCGTCGGCGCGCGCCCTCGGTCGCCCACCCGCCGCAGAACCAGACGGCGTGGAAGGGGCTCGCGCTGTTCCCAGTCGCCTATGACATGCGGTCGTGCATAACGCCACGGGACATCAACATCATGCCCGCAGTCGCGTGGACAGGGGCTCACGCCGCTCGCTCGCCTGCGGGTGCTTGAACTGGTACCGCACCGAGGGGCGGACGTAGAAGACGCCCGCAGCCCTCTCCAGCCCGCCCTCCCCCACCCTCCGCCTGCGCCGCCGCTTGCAGCACTCGCCGGAGGAATGCGCGGCGCTGCTGTCGCCCGCACCGCCGCCACCGCCACCACCGTCGCCACCGCCACCACCGCCGCCACCACCGTCGCCGCCGCCGCCGCCGCCTCCTGCAGCGCGGTGTGTCGCGAGCCGCTCGAGGAACGCGTTCCAGTAGTCCTTCTCGCACACCCAGGCGGGCAGCAGAAGCAGGAAGGGCGCGCCGCGCATGTCTCCGTCGCTGGCCAGGAAGCGGAGCAGCCTGGCGGGGAAGGGGGCGTTGCAGTCTGGCGGGGAAGTGGGCGGGGAAGTTGCAGTCTAGAAGGGGGGGGAGGGGGCGTTGCAGCCTGGCGGGGAAGTGGGGGTAGGTCTGCTACACGTATACTCGCTCTGGGGTGAGGGCGTGTTCGGCTGCCAAGCCGGGGGGGGGGGGGGGGGATCCCGGCCCGGATGGCAGGGAAGGCGGCCAGGGCTCGGGCAGACGAGGCACGCTGCGGCGGGCAAGGAGCAACCCAGGCTGTGGACACCCCTCGCCTCTGGCTCGGGACTCGGGAGAAGAAGGGGCACGCTGCGGCGGGGCAGGGAGCAAGGCAGGGCCACGCCGCGCCTCTGCTTGTGGTCGCCAGAGTAGGGCGGGTTGGTGAGGAGGACGTCGTACTGCGGCAGCTGGCCCGTCGCGATGTCCGCGTAAAAGTCGCGGTTCCGGTTGAGAACCCTCTCGCGGCGCACGCCCAGCGCCTAGAAACTTCCTAGAAGGTTCCTAGAAGGTTCCGGTGTAGAAGCTTCTCGCGGCGCACGCCCAGCGCCTCGAGCTCTGCGACGGCGCCTGCAGACAACCAATCGCACGAGGGGCTGGTGCGGTAGCGGCGGCGTGGGTGGCCGCGGCGGTGGCAAGGACAGTGGCAAGGGAGGTGACCGTGTGATGCTACAGAGGAGCGCAGTGTGTGCTTCGGAGCGCAAAGAAGAGCACGAAAGGCGTGCGTCGCTGCGATTGGTGAGAGGGGGGCCGCCGCGAGTGGTTGGCGAGAGGCGTTAGAAGGCCGCGGCGGGCTCCCGCAGGGGGGGGGAGGTGTCGTGAGGCCACTACGGCAGCCGCGCGCCTCCTAGAAGGTTCCTAGAAGGTTCCTAGAAGGTTCCCACTACGGCAGCCGCGCGCCTCCCTCGCAAAAGTACGGGTCAAAGACCGTCACCGCCGCCAGCGCCTCCGCCTCTGGGGCGCTGCCCCCGTCCCGCTTTGGAGGGAGCGGCGAAGCGGCGGCGAGGAGAGGGAGGATGTCCGCGTACGCGCGCCGCGGCGTCTCAAAGTGGTCATTGTACTCGGTCACAAACGACCAGCGCGAGAGGAAGCTGCCCAGCCGCTGGCCATGCCTGGAGAGGATCGCCTCGACCAGCAGCGCCGCGGCAGCAGAGAGGGACGGCGCGTCGCCACAGAGCGTCAGCTCGCGAGCAGCAGGGCCCTCGCCCGCGGCGCGCGGCGAGAGCTCCGTCGCCACGCCGGCGCCTCGCAGCCTCGCCAGCGCCGCCTCGCCGAGCAGCGACGTTGCCTCAGGCACGACAAAGCGGACGCGCCGGGTCGCGTCGCTGCGGCCGATTCGCGCGCACTCGGCGCGGAGTAGGGCGGCGCAGCCGTCAAAGGCGTGGCACATGGCGGCCACCGACTCGCCGCGGATGCTGCACCGCCGGTCGGGCGAGGCAGCGTCCTGGTTGCTCAGGTGGATGCTGGTGGCGCCCGACTCTTGGACGAGGCGGCGGACGGCGCTGCCGCGCGGGCCGATGATGGGAGGCGCGAGCGAGTTGGGGACCTGGAAGACGAGGGCCATTTCCGCCAGAGGATCGCCCGCGCCGCCTTCACAGCCTTGTAGAGAAGAATTTTACAACCAAGCTCCCTCGCACAACACTGATCGTCCTTCCAAAATCCTGCTCGTGCAGGTGGGGACCCTGTCCTCCTCCCCCATCCCTCGTTTGGCTTGTCTGTTTTCTTTCTTTCTTTTTCACTGGGCACGGGACTGGCGCGCACTGGCACTAACACAGGTACACCACTGGAGCCGCCTAAGCGACTCCCGCGAGGACGGCGAGGCACTTAGCTCCGTGCACTCGACCGCCCTCGCCGCTGGCAAGCTCATTCACAATCTGCTCTGCGATTGAGAAGAATTTAAACACCGCGCACCCCCGGGGCTAGGGCTCTCTAGCCCGTAACCCGATGATCATCCGGCCCGCTGGGTGCGCTCCTCAGCTCCCCGGCCCTGGATGTGAGGTCACCGACTGCACTCCAAGTGCTCCAACTCGTTGAGAAGAATTCTTAAAATACAAGCATATCTCACAACATGCACCCTCCCTTGGGTTGTCTGTTTTCTTTCTTTCTTTCTTTAGCACACTGGCACGACAAGGGCGCGGACTGGCGCGGACTGGCACACACACCGGCTCACCACCGGAGCCGCCTAAGCGACTCCGTTAAGAAATACGTTCTCTCGAGGTGGATATCCTTTGGCCGCGTTGGGTAGCGAGGATTGGTGTGACGCGATCCACGCAGGCGTGGTTTCTGACGGCCGACCGTCAGTCGAAGGCCGTATCGAGCCCTCTGCCGCCAAGCGCGAGGAAGAGGGAGTGCTGCATCGTGATGCCGAAGCTGAGCATGGGCATGAGGACGGACGGCGCGATCTCGACAGAGGGCACTGGCTTTGCCCGGGCGAGCATGGCGTTGTCGCGCCTGGGAGGGGACAAAGAGAGCAGCGGTTTTTCTTTCTTTCCTAAAAAAGGCCACCCATACCGCGAATCCCAGTCGTTGGTCGGACTGTGTTTCGCCTTCCTAGATCTATATCTATCGATCGCTTTCAATAGAGACGAAAAATATCTACTGCCCCAAAAAGATCCACGCTGCATGCGGCTCTTGGGTCCTCCGTCCTCTCTTCGCGAGCAAAGACCGAGCACCGACGCGCCAGAGCGCGGGGAGCCTCAGCCTGAGTTCGAATCACGAATGGTCTAATGTGCCAGCACAGCCTCAACTCCACTTTAGCACGCGCTGGCCGCCTTCAGCATAAACTCGAACTCGGGGTCTTGGATGGGCGCCGCCTGACTCGTCGGAGTGGGGTACAGCCCGTACCCGCCGACCGCGATGAATTGGGCGTTGTACTTGAAGCTGTTATCGGTGTGCATCACCTGCGCACTGGGTACCCCCAGCATCCTGGCAACTCGCATGCCCGGGTTCGCCTTGTCGGCTGCGATGCCGGGCCCGGGATCGTCCGTTCCGACGATTCGATCCGGCGGAAACGGGATGCCGACATCCTTGAGCACCTGTCGGGGTGGGTGGGTGGGTGGGGGGGGGGGTCCCGCGAGCGGCGCGGCTTGCGGGCGAGCACGTGGCGGCGCGCACGTGGTACAAGTACGCCTCCCAGACTGTCCCCGGCGTCGGATCCCACGACGCGGAGAGAATGAAAACATGACTCTCCTGGCCGATGAGCTCATCGACGTATTTTCTGAAGTACTCAATCCGCCCGGGACCGTCAAAATACGCCATGATGATTGCCGCCGTGCCGCCCAACTCTGCCTTGAGCCTTTCATAAGCGGGAACCAGGTCAGTCAACTTCTCCTCTTCGGTCGCGTGGTCAAACACGGCGTGCGCCAAGTTGTCGGTGAACTCAGTTGTGCCGTCAAAGTCGAAAGTGAAGAGCTTGATGCAGGGGATGTCGGCCGGCGGCCCTGTCGGCCACGTCTCAGGCCCGGCCTCGTTCACCTCCTCCCATGACGCCCAGCCCCTTGCCACGTAGCCCTCGGGGGTAAGGAGGGTGTAACCTTCGCGGGTGGGCGCAAAGCCCATCGCCGCGTGAAGCACAGCGAGAGCCATTGTCGATTGGCTTGGTGAGAGCGCCGCGGACTGCTTCCGTACCCCTCTTCAGTCGACTTCAGCGCCGAATTTACCTGGAAGTTTATTTTTTATTATTTATTTTTTCTATAGGTAGGCCGGCCCGCCGCCAATCTCCTTCCACGCGCCGAGCGTCCACAGCAGGATCACCCCACACCAGCTCAAAGCAGTTGTAGATAGAGGTGTGAGTCGAGTCAAAGTAGTATTTGTCACCATTCTCCGCAACGTCCTCAGCCCCGCAGAGTGCGAGCGCTACATTGCCGCCGCAACAGAGATAGGCATGACCTCGGTGCAGGCGGACGGCTACGAGCGGCGAGTGCGCGTGTGCAGCCGTGTCGCGGCCTCCTCCGAGCCTCTCGTTGCCCTCCTCTTCGCTCGGATCGCGCCCTTTCTCGCGCGCGACGTCGACCTCTTGTCGGCCGACCGCAGCACGCGCCCCAAAGGTATCCCGGCGGACAGGACACGCGCCGTGTGGAGGCCATACGGCCTGAACGAGAACTGGTTGGGTAGTAGTCTAAGTTCTGAGCCTCGCGGCTTAACGGGTCTAAGTGTGGCTAGCCACGCTGGAGTGCTTACGCGGTCTAAGATCAGCGGGAGCCTCTTACACCGGCTAAGTCGGCCATGGCACGCGATATACGGCGCTCGCGCCCAAATTTTCTTCGCCTGCGCGGGGGCGATCGATCCTCCTCATGCTCAGCAATCGCCGCCTCAGCATCCTCCTCTTCCGATTCTCGTTGCTGCTTCTTGAGCGCACTTCGGCGACATCTAGCCAAATAGTTCTCACAAATAGCCTCAAGCTCAAACAAACGCATGTCAGAGAAGCCTGTGTATGCTGGTCCTCTTTGAACGATCCGCGCGTGAGGTAGCATAGGGCCTTGTTGGCAGCAGCCAGCTTGTTGCGCTGCTTCGTTGCGATGAGCTGATTGGGATCGCAGAAGTGCATGCCAAGCACCGCCACGATCTTGAAGCAGAACACATCGCAACCGCATCGTCCGCACTGCCATCGGCATGCCGCGCCCGCCGCTTCGCCGCAGCCGCCTTAAGGCACGCATAGCGGCAGCACATGGTACGGTGCGCGTACTTGAGCAGGCGTTGCGCGCCGCAAGTAGCGCACTGGCCCTGGGAGACGGCGATATGGCGTCGTGCGCGGCATACGCTAGTCGGGACCGCGTCCAGGTATTTTTCGGGTAAACCTGGACTTTTGCAGGTATACCCGGGTTTTACCCGGAGTTGGCCTCGTGTCGTCTAAGTTCATGGCCCCCGGCCTTCCAGCGTCTAAGTCTGAGCCCGGCTCCGTGCGGGGGCTAAGTTGAGCGCTCGCTCGCTGCAGAGGCTAAGTGTAGAGCGACCCTCTAGCCCTACTACCCAACCATTGAACGAGATGTTCCGCATCTGCAGCTACAGCCCCGGGAGCCATTTCGCTCCACACCTCGACGGCGGCCATGTCCGCTCGCCCTCGGACGCGTCGCTGCAGACGTTCATGACACAGGTAATCGTGTCTAGTTACGCTTCACCCACAGAGGACAGAGGCACACGTACAGTACCCGGGTACATGACCTCTGAATGTACTCAAACCCGTGTGAGTCTCAGTGCGGCCCCATCACACCATCCCACTCGAGCCAATCGCCCCACTGCCGACTGAACCAGCCACAGCTCCTGCAACGGTTTAGCCCACCCCCATCCTCGTTGTTGTGGTGCGCCAAATCGTTGCAGGCCCGATTCTCCACAGGCCCTGCACGGCACCTGCGGCACATGCGCAACTCAGTGTTGCCGTAAGTGTTGCCCTGCCCTCCGTTTTGGCGCAAGAATTCTGCTGTTGATGCTTCCGCCTGCGCCTCCGCCCGCTGTCGCGCAGCCACCCGCTCAGCTTCGAGCCTCTCTGCCTCGCGCCGCAATCGCTCCTGCTCGCGCTGCCGCGCCTCCGCCTCCTCGCGCGCGATCCGCTCCCGCTCCTGCCGCCGCGCCTCTGCTCTGCGCGCGGCTTCTTCTGCCTGGCCCTCAGCTTGTGCGGCCTCCGCGCGCCTCGCTTGGGCGCGCTGCTCGCGCTCGTTGTCTGCAGCCAAGCTCCGAGCCTCGAGCCGTGACCGCACCTCCGCCCTATAGAGCTCCGCACGGTTGCGCACCCTTGCCTCTCTCCCAAGGCCACGCTCCGTGGGGAATTCAATCCCCAAAGGCAGCTCGCCACGCCCCGAGGCCTCCGGACGCGGATTCGGCTGCTCGCCACGCAAGAACCAACGGGCAAACACGGCGGGAAACCACGATGTTCTTGCTGCTGCCTCTACCGGCGGGAAGACAGGCTGATGCTGCTGCTCCTCAGCCTCCTCCATGTTCGCCTCCGAGGTTGCAAGGGCTAGCTGCACCTGGGCCTCCTCGAGTTCAGCTAACACCGCGGTTAGCTCGAGCACGCGTCGCTCTTGCTGCTCGTCGTCCTCGTCACCATCCGCGTTCTGCAATGCATCTGGCGAGGAAGCTATCACCAACGCCGAAACGCGCATCTGCAGCGAGCTCACTTGCGCCTGTAATGCATCTGGCGAAGAAGCTGTCAGCCGCGCGGCGATGGTGTCGCGTTGGATGCCGCCGCGCAGCGCCACCGTGTAGCTCGGCTCCGGGTCGTCCACGCTGCCGGGCATCACGGCGCGAACGGTGGCGAGGCAACGCGTGCCATCCCGCTGCGCGTACAACACGCTCTGTCCCGTCGTAAAGGACGCGTACAACTGCGGCTGCGGCTGCGGCGGCTGTGGCAACTGCTGCGGCGGCTGTGGCAACTGCTGCGGCGGCTGTGGCAACTGCTGCGGCTGTCGTTGCGATACCGCAACGGCCAGCCTGACCTGGGCGTCCTCGAGCTGCGCCTCGACCTCGGACAGCTCGAGCACGCGTCGCTCCTGCTGCTGTTCGTCCTCATCGTCACCCGAGAGCAAGGTTAACCGGCGCTCCTGCAGCTCAGTCACCCGCTGCTGCAATGGATCTAGATCGGAGGCCGGCGTGGGGGGGGCGCCTGCGGCAGCAACATCGGCCGCGGCAGCCCCAGCGCGATCGCGGACAATGCTCGAGAAGAACGAAGCGACGCTCCCGAAGAGCCTCGAGCTACCTGGCTGAGACCCTCCCGATGCTGGCTGCTGTGGCTGCGGCTCAGGCCCGCGCGAGGCTGCAAGGGCCAGCTGATACTGGGCGTCTTCGAGCTCAGCCCACACCGCTGTCAGCTCCTGCACGCGTCGCTCATCGTCCTCATAACAGCATCCTTCATAACAGCATCCTCGCAACGCCGTTAGTCGCATCTGCAGCGCAGTCACCCGTTGCTGCCATGCGTCTGGACTAGAGGCCTCGCTGGATCCCACACTTGAGATCCCGCCTGCAGCGGAGGGCCTGCCTGCGGCAGCCTCGGCCGCGGCAGCCCCGGCGCGCCGGATGCGCTCGTTGAGCGCCTCCATCTCGCGCGCATGCGCCTGTACGGCGGCGCGCTCTTGCTGCTCAAAGCGCGCTTCCTCCTCGGCTTCCACCTCGCCGCGCCGCTCTCGCAGCTCCGCGTCCTCATACGCGTCGAGCTTGTCAGCGAGCGCAGACCGCAACGGTCCATCCCCCTCGGCCGGCGGCGTGGCCTCGATGCGACCAACGGCGTCCTCAAAGCACTCCACACAGAAGCGATGGGACTCGGGCGGCGTGCACTCGACCCGCCAGACCTCGTCGATACAAACCGCCTCGAATGAGAGAGCCTCGTACGCGCCACAATGCAGGCAGACGACACGGCCACAGCGACGGCACTGGTGAGACGCCTGGTGGCGCGCCTGCCCCTCCAGGGGCACAAGCTCGCGCAAGCAGCTTCGCACCATGCATCGGGTTGTCGACAGCTTTGGTACGAGCGCCTCCTCATCGCAGATGGCAACGGCGAGGCCAGTCACGGGCGAAGGGTGCGGCTCCGATGGTGAGAAGATCCGCACGTCGTCCGCCCTCGGCACATAGGCTGGCAAACTCGATCGCTCAGCAATAACGTCGCGGATTGCTTCGCACCACTCCGCTAGGTATGAGAGCGGCGGTTCGCCAGCAGGCGTGCCCAACGCCAGCTCCTTGTCCCGCTCCGTGTCGGGGGTGCGCAGCAACAACTGCGAGTGCTCAATGCGGGCCGTGCTGTAGCCTGAGAGAGGGAACAGCGCGATTATCTCGGTGGCACGCTCGTCTTCGTAGATCACGAGCTTGTCGGTGCTCAACACAAAATAGCGCCGCACACCCCGCTCGCCAACCACTCGTCTCGGCACCTGGCGCATCAGCCAGCCCTGCTTGATGCCTTGCGGCCCTCGAGGCTCCTCCGCTGCTGCAACTGCCGGCCCCTCCCTCGCCTCGCGCTGCCGCGTCGCGGCGATTGCCGCCTCGCGCCGCTCGCGCCAGTCGCGCGCCTCAGCGGCATCGACTCGCTGCAGATCAATAGCACCCTCGATCAATGAGACGATTGCATGGACTGGCAAAAGCTGCGTGTGGTGCAGCGGGCCACCCATCGGTGAGTTGTAGTACTGACGGCGCTCGCGCGGCGCTCCACAGCATGCGTCGTCGCGCGCAGCCTCGCACTCAGTGGTCTGCGGCTCTGCCAACCGTTCGCGCTCTGCCTCAAAGTGGCGCTCGATGTTTTCGCGCTCGTAGACGTGCCCGTCGGCCGCGGCGACAGGGTCGGCCATGAGCTCGCCTAGCTGCATGATTGGGCACGAGAGCGTCCTTCGCTCTGTCTCCGTCAGGGGCATCCGTGAGGAAGCCTGTCGCGACGGCATTAGCGGCTGCGGCGTCGGCTGCGGTGCCGCCTGTGGCGTCTCCACAATTCCGCCGGCGATGGCGCCAAAAGCAGTGAGCACCTCTCCGGTATGGGGTAGGTCGCATGACGGTGCCGGTGCGTGCCGGAGGCGCTCGGCGGTGAGCGGCTGTGGCGAATCGGCGGGGAGCAGCGACTCGGGTCCGAGCTCGGCGGCGACACGAGCCCGAGTGGCGTCGGTGATGGGGCG